AACCTCATGATAAATGATACGGTAATATGATTCTATAACCTTATTAATTTAATGATCGCTTTTAATCAAAGTTAGTCACATAAAGTACCTACCAAGGTAACCACGTCCGGCAACGGTGCACCACCAACTTGCACCATAACGTGCAGCCTCGTGGTTTTAGCAGCACGCACCCACTCGTCCACGATCTTCTTCCTCTCATTTACGCTGAGAGACATATTTTCCCCGGTCGTACCACCCACTGGGGAATAAAGTGCATAATCGCATATTCTTATACTGTTTTAATTTTTATTCATTATGGTAATCTTAACTTTAAAATGCCGTATGAACCTGCTTACCTAAAACAGATTTGATGCCATTATCAGCCAAAAACTTGGCGTAAGGTAATATGGCTGGATAGTTGACAGACTGATCTTCATTAAGGGGTGTGAACACCGGAGGCATCAATCCACGGGCCTTGAATACCACCTATAGATAAAAACGATATTTTATAGTCCACAATACTATTTTACATTTCTAGAACTGTTGAAAACTCTCGCACCTTTGGTGTAATAATGCCACATCTGCAAAATGACAACTTTATAAAAGAGAGATTTAACTACGTACGAAATTGGTTGGTAAACTTTTTATTTTTTTACGCATTTACACTGGGTCATCGACTTTCGGCAGACTGCTTCGCCTGCCTAAGGCTACAATGGCGGCGGTCGCTTCAGTCGACTTCGGCTGCAAACTACTGTCGTCAGACGACTCACTATTTACACCGGGTAACTTGGTCGCCAGACGACTCAGTCTAAATGCGGCATTAAATGGGAGAATTATAAAATTTCACATATTCATACATAATTTGTCTCATGTAATTCGTATTATTTTTATGTGATAAAAGCACTTTTGACAAATGATAAATGAAAATGAATTTTATAAACACCAAAATAGTACGAATAGTTTCTTACCATTTTTAATCTGGAGAGAATGTTGTCAGCAAATGTAGACGAGTGAGTGACTCCCAAAGTGATTACTATAATGAAAAAGAATTACATAACAAACTGATCTCTCCATCTGAAGCTTCTTATCAGTTTGTTTAGTTGCATGGTAAGTAAATAATGACTTTGATAACTTGTTCATGTAAATGTGATATTATGTATGTATGCTTATCTAAATAATATATCATGACTGCGTTGACAGTTCTTTACATTTGTAGGTACTTACAATTACTTCTTAAAACTACTTTCTCAATATTTTAGTAGTAACATCAGCGTGTTAGTGAAATCAAAGGCATATGAGCCTTGTCAACTTGCAGTGGCAGTGTTCCTTAGATCTTTGCGATTCAAAGAGTGTGGCACTGCAACTGCTATTTACATGCGTGTCGTTTACCACCAGGTGCACGACTCGTTCGTCGCGTCACTTGGTATTATTAAAAAAATATTTCGACAATAGTCGTGTTTTGGCTGTCGTTGGATTTCTGTCATCTGCCCTTTAAGGTGTAGGTAATCGTTAAGTGTGCCCAGGCGATTACTCCATAAGAGATATCATAAAACTTTAAACTCATTTCGAAAGTACGTTACCAAATCAATAAATCGACAAATAGCCTATATTTTATAATAACTTTTTATAAATGAAACTAGAAATATCCAAACTTTGATTACTAATCGCTCCCATACATTAACATGACATTTGTAAAGAGGCTTTAGTTTTCCTACTGTAAGAGGTAACATTAAGTTAACAGATGAATAAACTGATATAAACAAAGTAATAAAACTATCTTTTCATTGAATAAAAATATAATGGCATAGTCAATTAATTGCTCAAGTGTAACTGTCCATAAAAATTAATAAAATCGATCAAATTTTTTTAAATACTGATCGACCAGTTTCATGTTAGGATCATTTCATTGTATGAGACGAAAAAAATCAAAATTTGATCGATCATATTAGGTACCGTACTTTCAATATCAGTTTAAAGCTTTTTGATATATCTCATATTTATGGAATAATAGCGTGGGCACAATGAAATGAAATGAAATAAAGTTTATTTACATTGAATAGATTATTACAGGATGGTAGTTATTACATTTGAGTTCATCTATTCAGCCGTTACACAAAAGCATGCAAAATTTAATCTTCTAAGTAGTCATTTACACTATAATATCCGTAACTTAACACACTTAACGATTACACCGTGTATAATTTAAATAGACTAGCTACTACACTTATTTTTTTAAGATTCTAACTGAATTGTAAAGATTAACAACTGGAAAGACAAATTAATTGATAGTTACACAAAAGTGCCTACAAGGCCTTCCGCTTAAAACTAAGTCAGTTCCTGAGGTAGCTACGCGGTGCGGGACGAGTAACGGATTCGCTCGACATGTTTCGAACCAATTCGTGGTCCTTAACAACTCCAGCGCACCAGTGCAAACTCAAAATTGTTCCTGACTCTGCATGCTCATGCGACGCGTATGAGGATCTAGACCATATCATCTTCTCCTGCCCCTCAATTGATCACGATTCTTTCATATCCGATCTCCTGGCCATCAGTGTACCAATCCCCGTCTCCGTAACCTTTTCAGCACGAGAAAATTATTTTTTGTGATTGTATTTGATGTTGCATTTTTTTAAGCATTCATGCCGTTAATAAAAAGAAAAAAATACAAAAAATCTCCTGTAATCACCCTTGCAAAAAACTTCCCGCACGGTCATGGCATCCCGCCATGAACCGTACCAAAGCGTTAGCGGTTTTTTTTATTAAATTTTGAATAAAAGGCAACTTATAAAGCAACAAAATCAACTATATTAAGGAAACTTCAATTTTATCACATGTTTCACAATAAATACAACAAAATATGAACTTATTATTAATTACGCAAAATACTAACTAATCGAGATCTTTTTCTTCGATTTGTCGTCAAAATACTCAAGAAAATAATCAAAGGATGGGCGGCAAGCTCCAGTCGTAGGGCGAGATGGGTACCTACCACAATTGATCCCCATCATCATATGACATTTGCCTCCACTTCCTTGATCTATGTGGTGATGGTGCGTCAGCCGAACGACTTCGCCTTTCAGATCGTGACCGTTCCCGAACAGACGTATGGCTTGAAATAGATGATGATCGACCACGACTTTGGTGGGCATCACGGGTACTTGAACGGGTACTGTTAGAAGATCGACCAAGACTGGCTGGATAAGCTAGATATCCTCCGGCGGCATTGTTAACTGGAGAGACATCGTTTTTCGCCGTCGGAAAGTGAGCGTGCCTTATAGATCCGGCACCAATTAGGAGATTTGGTAGTGAACTCGACGGCTTAGCGGTGGCAACCGCTAGTTATGCAATGCGAAACGGGAAGTGAGCGTGCCCACAGCTCCGTTACCTATCTGGAAAATAGAGAGGGTATTGTACGTGCATCCGGGGCGGCTCACCCGAGGCACTAGCCTCTCGAAGAACCGGATGAAGTCAAGTGAGGTCAGCTGTGACAACCCTGTACAGGCTGATCTGGGGTCAGAACCTGATCTTACAAGATTGTGACGGTGTGACCTCCTTACATCGTCATCTCACCTCTTTGTATCGCCTCTCTCGTCTTGTATCTTATAATTTTTTTTATTTTACTTGTATTTAAATTTTAAATTTGAATTGTTCCATCTTCCTTCGCTTTCTCATTTTGTTTTCGTACCACGGTCACTCCCAGCTCGACCGCCACAACAGTCAGAGCTGTTAATAAGCTAATCATGTGTAATAATTTATAAGTCTACACCCTTCATGTATCTATTTCTATAATTCAGTTTCTCGGCCCATTTAGGGGTAAGTGCCTTAATAATAAAGTGTAGGGAGTGTTTTATACTGTTATACCTGTTTTTTTTACATTTACCTTTATATTGTTACAGCCTTTCTTTAAACTTTACTTCTTTAATAAATTTTGTACCGGAAGCTTCCCATTTCATTGCCGTGAACCTGTTCACGACTAGTTAAGGTTACAACCCTTTCAAGATTCCTTTCCATTCCACAGGTTATAGTGCCCTTCTCCTATACCCTCAGGGTCGGTAGTAAGGGTCACTATAATCAAAACTCAAGAAAAATTAGGGGTTGGTCTGGGCTAGTGAGAGTAGGTATCCACTGATCGACTTTCTGGATACAGATACGACTTTATTGCGTAAATCGCATGTTAATGTCCCTAAAAACAAAAAAAAAATTAAGTAAAAATAAAACTAATCTAGTCATTTCCATCCTGATAAGCATGATCGTGTTTTATAACTTTATGACTTAAATGGACTTAAAGCAAAATTTCTAACAATTGACTCTTAAATTATTTTTTATGTAAAATATAACATATACGTAATAAGAAAATATTTTTATATTTAATAAATCTTGCTTTTCGACCTCCCGTCCGTCACGTACACGCTCACACTTGTTGCTCTCGGCACAAGTGTGTAACCCATAGATCATAACACTCTCCTTAAAACAAGGCCGCACTGCTTTAACAGCCAATATTAATCAAACGCACAAACGATGTTGTTGATCCGACGCGGTAAACTTTAATACTTTCATACCTAAATTTTTTCAAAGTTGAACGCACGATCGTATAATTCTATGCCGTAATCGTTATCAAGTTTATTGTATTTATGTAACAAAAAGGTTTATAATGAACTGGCCTTATTTATCGGAAATAATAATATCAAGCTTTAATTATGTATGCCGATACATATATCAGCTATTCACCCTACCCAATAAACCTTCCATATCCTATTTCATCCAAATTCCGTACCTCTTCTATAATTAGTAATTCTGCTTGGGTGGGAACCCAACACTTTCATGGGCTAAATGCGAAGGCAAAGCCATTAATATTAAAAAAAAATTGTCTTGTGAGCAGAGCAAATGTCAAACACAAATGGCAATTGGCAATAAAATAGATGAATTGAAATCTTTATTTTTTTCCATCCTCTAAGATTGAAATGGTCCCCAAGTGACTAGTGTTTTTGTGATTCCCTCAAAGAGTAGAGTAATAAAGGGATTCCCTTGAATTACTGAACAAATTGCGGTTTGTCTAAAACTCCAATAAAAAAAACAAGATGACCACGATAGTAAGCGAACTTAGCATGCATGATCTGACCCACAGATTCTTTGAGATCATGCAAGATGAAAATAACGCTGAACTTGCATCGCATTACATCTACGAAATGCTATTCGAAGATGTATCTTTGGGGTTTTTGTTTGAGTTCCACCATGGAATGAAAACTGGACTCACGGACTTGTTGGAAGGCGAAAAAGAAGATGAAGAGCCTTATAAGATTATGAACTCGCCAGAATGCGATGTTTTTGGCTTTTCTATTATGAAAAAGACTCCCGATTCTAACTGTTCGTGTCCTAATTGCGAGAGACCTGTGTCGGCAACTAGATTTGCTCCCCATTTGGAGAAATGTATGGGTGAGTAAATCCTTTTTATATAATTGTGTTTACTTGGACTAAAAACTTAAAACATCTCTTTGTTTTGGTATAATCAGCTGATTGTCATGGGTCACTTCCCTATTTTGGATAAGAGCCTAAATTTGGCCATTTTCATCTTGTTTAATCAGCAACTAAATGTTCAAAAGTATTATTTTTTTATGTCAAATAATATAATTAGTGGACTACGCCATAGAGTCGCCATTAAAGAGCAGAATACCAAAAATTGCAATGGAAATTGAATAATAGATTGATGGATAAGTGGAGATAGTTATGCAAACTAGAACCAACCCACAAAATGTCACTTTCAAGATAATTCGATTTTTGTAAAAACAGTGAAGAAATAAATAGGTAAGTTATTTGAGACAAACAATGTGAGTTATGTGTAGCATGGTATAAGGAAACTATTATATTATATAGCAATAAATAGAAAACATTATCTATCTTTTTATTTAGTTAACGAGAACCATGTTCTAGTTTTCGTGATGAAAACGCTAAAGATCTACAGTACTTCAGTACATGTAACATGGATCCATTTAGCATATTTAAAAAAATACATTATGTGAAGCTAAGCAGCTTTTTACCTATTAAAGATTTACTTATTTAGGGTTCATACCCTGAAGGACTTGTATTTACTCCGTTTTGGCTTGGTGTATTGCCAGGATCTTTTGTGAGCGGGTAAAGGACACGTCGGGTGTTATACCTAAATACATAACTCAATTTCACTCGAGGTGTGGGTTGGTTCTTGTACAAAATCGTGCTATTGACACATGACTGTTATATTTTAAAATTAGCAGGCTTGGGCCCCACTTTTCTCTGAAATGAATTTGTGTATCTAAATAATAAGTTTCTTTTTACAATTTACTTATCAACAAGAAATTGTTTATTAACCTGTCATGAGTCCACTTATAATTATTAAAAACACATGGTGTCCCTAACGATTTTGGAACATCTGTGTTTTCATCCACAATTTTTAGATAAATTTCAAGTTATAAAAAGGATTTTCTAAAAATTACCAGAGTCTTTCTCTAGGACGTGTGACTGGTTAAACATATATCTTTTTAGTGGAACAATTTTCCGCAGATATAGTACCGGCACGCTGTGATGGCCGTTTTGACGTTTGTCTGCTCATCAAGTTTCTTTTTAATTCATAACTATGTTGAAGGAGTTCTTTGCTGTACATTGTTGTTAATACTGAGGTGTAGCAAAATTTATGGAATTGTATAATTTTATGACACAACACAGCATGTGCTTTTCGAAATTCGAAATTTTAAAAAATTCACTTGTAGGATCGCTGGCCAGCTCAACTTCTACCTCCGGCAAACTCGCGTCAAAGTTCTATGCAAAATAAAGCAGTTTCGAATTGACATTGCTTCGGTTCATTGAAATATATTAAGTAAACATTTATGTTTTCCTTTTGTTAAAACTTCTTCTTTTTATTAAATTGCAAGGGTGCATGCAATACTAGATAAAAATCTGAAAAATTGTAGTTGTGGCTCGCATTTGATTATATTTTTTTCCACAATGAATTGAGATTTCAACTCGCTATTGTAATCTGTCAAAACGGCCATCATAGTGTGCCGTTGCTATATTTACAATAAAACATAAACCCATACATGCTGCTGCTAGACACATCTTATCTAAGGCTGCTTTTGGTCCATTGTCTACCACTTTGACCAAATGGGGATAGGAAATATCCCAGATCTTTAAGAGTATTTATGAATGTTCTCCCACATATAAATTCCACCACTATTAATATAATATCTTCCATTAAAGTTCACTATACATTCTTCTGTTAAATATTCTTCCAACTAAATTGTCACTTATTATTTAAGGGGGCCCTTTAACTACGTCTGTGGCACAACGGTTACCATACTGGTCTGCCATGCAGAGGTCTAGTTTGATTGCCAGGCTTGGAGAAATACTTTGTATGGCCTACATTTATTTCTCTCATGAGTTTGGGTAGTAATTTGTGATTGTCTATTTGTGTGTCCATGACACTCACCATACAAGGTTTCCCTAGTGCAGGGCTAAGAGTGTGTGTGTTAATAAAACATGAAGACTTGGTGACCCACTGCACAATAATTCAGCCCTACTCTTTCCTGTAGTTTGAAGAATACCTAAGTGCTTAGTATCATGGAGGTACCACTGATCGCTCAATCGGTACTCATGATCAGGAAGAACTCTGATTTTATTTTTTTTTATCTTGTTAATAAGGCCTGTACAAAGTAAAAATTACTGTTTAAATTCTCAGGTATGGGTCGAAATAGCTCCCGTATAGCCTCACGCCGCATTGCGTCAAATAGTCGCGAACCCACATCATATGCTGGACTACTCAGTGATGATGAGGATGATGTTGATTGGGCCGGAGGCTCATTGCAGAGCGAGCGTCGCAAGAGACGAATCAAGAATAATAACAACCGAAAGCCTAATAAGATGCACAAGTGAGTTTTATAGATGAAAAATGCTGGCAGTAATCTTGGGATGCTATTGTTGTATGCAATTACATCCATCGTAATATTTAAGTTTCCAATGTAGCACTAAGGCTAATGAAGTTAACCAAGATGAACTAATTCATCTTGGTTAACTTCATTTCACAATATATAGTACAAAGCAATAAATGTAATACCGAACCATTTAATTGGATGTTCTTCTCGAATCAAAGGGCGCTTTCTGAGCCATTCGGAACATTCCGAGTTAAACGAGCGATTCGGATACGATATCGTTATCCAACAGCGTTTAGAGTTAGTTGGTGAAATAGATTATAAGAAAAATGAAAATCCTTTTATATACATTTTTAAAACTTTAAAGGTTAAAAATATAGGAATACATTAATTAGTCTTGCATTAAAATAAATAAATAAAATTGAACAAAATCCAGACTTTATTTAAAATAATAAGAGCTTTCCATATTGCATTCTTGCTTTGTAAACAATAGGACGTTTGGTAACTTTCAATCAATAAGTGTGTTTTGAATAACGTTTGTAGCCTTTGGCGGTCGAGAAGTTCGAGTAAATCGTACAGGTGTGACGTCATTTCGGTTCGGTTTCAAATACGACAGTTTGACGTTCGATTCGGGGGTTTGAATAAAAATAAACTAAAATCAATCAACAACGTAGTTATTGTAATGTTCTGAATCGACCCCCAGGTACAATAATTCGGGTTTTGTTTCCCCTTACTATTATTTATTAATAACAATACTCATAATTCTTATAATATTTTCACAGTGGCAACAACCGTAACAACAATGGCACCCAGAACGCTGACCCGAACGACGGCGGAGCTACGTATGAGACTATGACCGCCAATGAGAAGAAGAATCTATTGCTGCAGATTTGTGGTGTTGTTTCTGAACATACTAAGAAACTTTGCACCAGGTGAGAAGTACACATTATGCTTTTGTCTCGTATACTACGAGCCATCAATGAAAAATCAACCATAGAAATAGCATCATGCACTAAAATCATAGTTCTAAGATCATTGCTCCTGTTTTAATCAATTTCAAAATAGAAGGAAATTCTCTGACTTGAAGAATTGGACTGTATGTAGCTTTTGTTTGTATGTTACGCGATAATTCCGTCGTTTGTGGACCAATTTCGATGATTCGTTTTTAGTAGGAAAGAGGTCAGTAGTCTTCACCTTCTTTCAACCTCTATACACCCAATACTGAATATAGGTCTCTTCCAAATGCACTCCATTCCTTCCGGTCTTGTACCTATCTCATACCATTTTTATTATTATTCTGGATAGCTATTTTAGTTTTCCCGCCTCTGCCATGGCCTAAAAGATTAATTTTGTATTTTTGAATGGGAGACGCGGTATTCCCCGTGGCGTAGTCGGCCGGGGTCAGAGACTCTGGTTCCGACGAACAATACGTGCCGTATCGCGCTGGACGGCCTTCTGCATTTGTGCTGGAAGCAACACGCCACAGGAATCTTACCGCCCCAAGTTATTATTATTATTATAGTATGGTTCAAACAACCTTCCCTGTAATAGTTATGTTATGCATATTTTTGTACTAAAAACAGAGCACCGTCACTAAGTACGTATGAGTGTATCACCGACAGTGCAAGCGCTCAGACAAGTCTTTCACTTAAATTACAATCCTCGTACAACCCCAGCATTCGGTTCCGCGCGACTGCATACGGCGGGCAACGTTATTTTCACCTCTGTGCGCGTGCTTAGGTTTCTTTTTTCTTCGCAGTGAGCATCAGGTTTCCCTAGTCAGATTTAATAGGCTATCATAGCATAGGTATTTTCGATCTTGTATGAGAGTGACGTGTCTGTTACGTAGTAAATATTAAATTATCTATGCTATAAGACATAACTTCAGGAGGCTTACTGTCTGACATGAGAAGCAATTTGAAGTTATAACAATACTTTTAATGCCTATAATTATAACAGGCAGCCAATGACTATATCAGACCTGGTAATCATATAAATAGAAACTTGGTCTGAAGTTTATGATATGAAATCCTATACATATGGCGAAAGGCATTGTAGTGTAGTTGTGTACTGTAAGTGCTCTGAGTGGGACACTAATATCTATATAGTATTATACATGATTGTGTGCTAAATATTTAATGATCTGCTGTAAATCTTAGCACTGGAATGGTATGTATATTAGTTCTTCTTTTTTTCCTTTTTGTCCATGGCAGGGTGTAGCAGAATATTAACAATACTGAGAAACATTATTGTCTGTTACTAAACTTTATATGTTCAAGTTGCTTATAAAGGGTTTTTCAACAAGAACTTTGTTTTGTAAATCAAAAAAAAAAAAAACAAAATTTAGATGACAATGATTCAAATTTTTATTGTATTAAAAAAGTAAGGTTTGGCAATTATTAATGAAAAATGATATCTGATAAATGTCCACCACGACCACAGTTACAGGTGTCGATTCTTTCGTCACAGTTTTTAATCACTTTTTGACAATATGGTGTGTCTATTTCGTTAATTACTTCACGAATTTTGAGTTTTAGTTTGCCAAACCTTATTTTTTTTAATACAATAAAAATTTAAATCATTGTCATCAAAATTTATTGTTTTATTTTGATTTACAAAACAAAGTTCTTGTTGAAAAACCCTTTATTTCTTTACTGATGTATTGAGATAAATAAATAATTTTATTATTATTATATATTCTTTATTGTACTAAAAAAAGTTAATTATATAAAAAGTGAGCAATTGTGTTATATTATATAAAAAGAGATCTCTTCCAACCAACCCAAAGTAGCGAGAACAAAGATCATAAGCGGACAACACTGCGAGAGAAAAAGAGGGAGAAAAATAATAATAGGAAAAAAAATTTAAAAAAACCAAGACTTACAAAAGTACCAAATGTAATAATTTCGAAACAATTTCTGAAATTTGGGTATTCGAAAATGTATATTTATAAAACTTCATACCAACTTTCAAGTTAGAAAAGGGCGGCTTTTGAATATTACCTATAATAATTACTATTTCCAGGTCCACACGCTGCCCCCAACATACAGAAGAGCAGCGGCGCGCTCTTCGCAATACTGTCCTCGAGCCTTCCACACCTGAGTCCCAAACAATGGGCCTAACAGCTGACGACGCAGGCTCTCCGCCGGACTCTAGTCCGTCTTCGTCATGTTCTTCTTCTAGCCGCAAGAGGGACCGGCATCGTGCTAAGAATAAATCTAAGAGTAAGCGAGAAAGGAATATGTCTCCAAACAGGGAATAAAAGCAACATTGTTTCATGTAGGTACCAAGTATGGTTATACACATGGAGTACCGCGAGTCTTGGAAAGAAGAGTAATCCTAAATGAAACAGATGCTTTTAACACTTGCATCGTCGGCCAATTAAAATGATTGTTTGCTTCCCTACCATCGGAAACATGGTGGTTATAAAGAATGGTGAACCTATGTGGCACCACCTTACTTGGATTAAAATGGCACTAAAATGTAAATGATTGTAATACAGGGTAATACATACTGAAACGCCAGTGGGTCTGCTTGGTTGGTGACCTTTAAGGTGTTTTTTTATCGGCAAGGCGAGACGAGGATGTGCGAGGCGAAAATTATTTGTTAATTTTATATTGAACCGTATTGCTGCCTGTATAGAGTGTACTCTGCAACGAAAACACGACAGCGCGGGCCCTCGCTACGGTGGGATACGTATGATTTAGGATTTTAAAAATATTTTTTCTGCAAATAATTGCAGAGTAAATAATATTATTTACTCTGGAACTTGGTATTTTAATATTTTTATTTTTAATTAATTATTTTAGTTGTGGATACACAACCTCAACGCGAGCTCGCGATATTTATTAAGGGCAATTTTTGGTAGACCTAGATCGACGAAATTTCATTTATCGTAATTTTTCGTCTCGTCTCGCCGGTGGAAAAGCACCATTAGAGTTTCCATAATTGTTATTATATTCTGTCATTCGGTCGATATCTGTTACTTCAATTTCTACAGTTGAAAGGGAAGCTACATGTCTACCATTATTATCCTATACATAAAAAGCGATACACATTATAGTTATAGTTTATTTAGGGTTGTACCCCTTTCATCAGCTCGCATCCGCATACCCCATACCAAACGTGTTTTTTCTGAAAGACTTTCAGGCATGGTGACAATACGGTATATAGAACACGTTTGTAATGGACGTGGTGATGTGAGCACGAACGTAGTCAAACACAAGATGTGATTTTTACCTAAATTCGATTTTTTAATTGGCTGGACCAAACTGACAGTTTTTTTTATAGCGGCAAGTCTAGTACTTGCTTCGGTTGCTTGTAGTTGTACGTCTCTCCCGTTCTCCATCCGAGCCAATTAATGTCAATTATTTAATACTGGACCAAGTTATGATTATGATGATGCGAATGAAGATGAAGATGAATGAAGCTTCATACTTGACTTTGTCTTTTGATTTATTCGAGTATTACTTATTTGACAGTAATTGTTTGGGACGGAGGACGGGACCATCAGTTTCGTTTGCTAAAAATAACATGATAATTATGGTGATCGTCGCCAATGTCAATATTTTTTTCTTTATTTTTTTATCTATCGAGTTCTTAGGTTTTCGCGATTGTTACACATAGGAAATGAAACTACTGAAACTAATGAAACTATTTAAATCGCGTATATTTGTTTTTTCGGCTTCAAATGTTAAAATTATTGTCCTTCCAATAAAATGAGCTTATTATAATATAACATTTTTTTGGAATGGAACATCTTATCGATTAGCTTAAATAATGAAAACGTACGTCAATATATGAACTTGTGGCTGCCTTAATTAATTTTACTAGATGGTTTTGTGATTTGTTTATTATTTCTCGGATTTCTAACTATGCTACTCTGCATATTTGGTTAGCATCTTAGGTGGGATAAACTAGACCACCTTCGTCCTCGAAAGCAACAAACTCATACGTATGACTAACTCCAGATTTTTATGAAGACAGCGCATTGTTAATTCTTTGCATTATATTTTTTTTTTATTACTCGTACTACATATCCTGCGACGTATGTAATTATTTGCTCACTTTATTCGGACACTCGAGGCAACATGCTGCAAAAATTTTCGAAATTACAGATACTACAAAAAAAAAAAAATTTACTAAACGTTATAAACGTAACAAAAGAGTTATAGAATATTTTTATCACTAAATGTTAAATTTGGCCAAAGAAAAGTAGAAGCGGCCGTACCACGAAACTAAATGCATTATACAAAAATGCGTTCGTTCGATATCCATGGCGTATTAACAAAGGATCACAAATATATCGCACCAAGTAACATACCGCAATATATTACAAATGGTTGCATATTTGTTTTCTCGAAATTCATACAAAACCAAAATAATTGTTTTTAAAATAAATTACGCATCTTCTGATTACAAAATCACTTGCCCGTGGAAGGAAACGTCCGTTTACCCACAGTTATGGTGCTTTTGCAGTTTATAATGGCACAATTACGCATTTTTCGCGTTTTCGACTGGTGTTCATCTACGATAACGGTCGAGCGCGTTCTGAAGTGTAGCAGCGGCAAGTAAGTGAATTTCACTTACTTTGGGCACGCGAAGTACGTACACTTGCGGCGTCTATCTAGATATATGTCTGTGCTCCCGTCACATGGTGTTATAAAAAAAATGTGATCAGTGGTTCCTTCGTCTAACGCATTCGCAAATCGAGCTGTCCCCAACCAAACCAAATATACATAGGTACAGGAGCCCTTGACCGTGACCGTCATACAAAGGAAGTGCATGATGCGAGCTCATTGTGAACACGTCAAACTGACAGTTTTGACATTTGCTGTATTGCCATAAATAGTAGCAAAATTTATCGTCCTTTCGGGACATGGTAGCCGTACTGCCAGTACTTAGATTAAATTTTTTTTAATTCATTTAATTTCTGACATTTCTTCGCGGGATATCTTTACGGTTGCCATTTTGAAACTCCTATTGCCATAAAAAAAACTAATTTCTTTTGACACTTTGTAAATGAATGTTGCCATGTTTTCTTTGCTGTTGTGTTCTCAATCAACTCACTGAAACAGATAAAAAACAATACTGAATGAATGAATTGAAGTCGGATCTCTTTTTATTTTTCGCCAAAAACTGGTAACACGTTGTCAGTTTTGTCCAGGTAATTAAAAACTTTGAAAGATCTTTTTAATTTAATTAGGTTTTTTTAGGTCTAGATACCTATATTGTAAAAAAATATATACATTACCAATTACGAATAAAAATAAAAACGTTCTTTAAAATGTTTGTGAATACAAAAATACTTTTTAATACTAAATACGCTCAAACGTTAATATTTTCGCTCATTTCAAATTAGCTTAAGTCAACTTTGAAACGCAGTAAAAGACTTCACGACTAATCTGTAACGTGATATTCTGTTTAATACAATAAAGCACGTATCTCTACTCTCTAAACACCTTCACGTAAAAAAGAGAACAAGTTCAGAAAACAACGAGCATGTGGGTCGGTGGATTTGCCGACAAAAAAATTTAAGTAGGTGCCAATTTCAAATTAGTTTCTTGAAATTTACTGAAATATGTCACGCACCCGGAGACGGGCAGTGGGTTAAAACCCAATCATCCCATCCGGGTTTTAACCATATTTTCACCCAAAGCAGTTTTAACCCATTTCTGACCAAACTTCGGGCAAAAACGGCGAATACTTGCAATTTTCACTACTAAGGGAAGCACATTAGGATTCGATTTCTATGAAGATCGATTCAAATGCATACAATCTAACGGTTTTTTGTATCTGATTTTTTCAATGATATTTTCAAGCGAATCGATTCAATAGAAAGGCAAACCGAATCGTCTAGATCAAAAAGCAATACAAATTTGAACAAGTCGGCTTACAGCAAATATTTAATTGTATAATAGTTTTTGTCCGCGATGTTGGGCGTTAATGGCTTTTAACCCGATTTAAACCCGGTGTTAACAAAGCGCCGGGTCAAACCCCGGGCGCTTGTCTATTTCTGCGGACACCGGCTTCGACAGTGTCCCAAGTCAAAAATCATTTATTTTTGTTTTATTACGGATGCGGTGCTTGCGAAAAAATCCATTATTTTCGGTGGATTTGTCCTGTAACGAACGAGGGAAATTGGAAATATTAAGGCTATAATTCTGAAGTTAACTAGTGTCACTTTTGATGACTGATCTGACTAGTGTTAAATGTTATACAGGGTGTAAATTTGTGACGGGGCAGCAAGGCCAGCTACCTTAATCGTTGTAGTTACAGGAAAACGGTTCTAGAAGACTATCCATGAATTTTGAAGATATTTTGATTGGCATTCACAGATTTTCAAAAAATGGTGCAGTCAGCAAGATAAAAGGCAATTTTTACAAAACTTTTTTTATGCCATTCGATCCGGTTTCTGGTAAGGATTAATAGTCTATGGGACCAACTGGGGTAAAAGTACTCGAAATGTCACAAATCGGAAAAAACTTTTTGCCACACATTTTGTAGGGTCACAGTCTTCTAGAACCGTTTTCCTGTAACTACAACGATTAAGGTAGCTGGCCTTGCTGCCCCGTCTCAAATTTACATCTGTATAACTACATTTTTACTTTTAAAATTTTACTTGTAATTTTTGAATTGAAGTTGAATGAAACCAGGGTATGATATGATGGTTTCATTGTGCAAATCTAAAGGTGTAAATTTATAAAATATGCTGAAGAATTCGTTTTATATGTTTAAGAAATATAAACTGTCTATAAAGAAAAATTGTATAGAAGTAGAAAATTACGACAAATGTAATATGACGTAATATTGTTTAATTCAATTAATAAATGAATATACCCAACTACGTTTTATTAAGGTGTTAACACACTTGAGGCCCCAGAGGCTGTTTTAGAGGTGGCATGTATACAATCTAATGTGTTTATGACTAAAAGAAAACAAAAAGTAAAAGAATAATCCATTTATTGGCATAAATATTAACTGTACTGAAATATTTACATTAATACAATATCACATAAAACTTAAAACACACTTCAAAGAATGTAAAAGCGAATAAACGATTCAACTATATAAGTACCTTAAAACAGTTCAAGACATCTTTGGAATGGGTTTTTGATGTACATTTTTAAAAAACCTCAAATTCATCAATTTCGATCAAAATACATAATTTATTCCCTAAAAAACAATGGAAACATGAAAAAAGTTAATACACGATTAAAAAAGAAAGGGAAACACAATTCCTGTTTTGTGCATATTTATTAGGAATATATTTTCGTCGCGGCAACATCGATTTGTTACACGGAAGGTTTTTTATGATAACAAATTACTCTACGAACAAGTCATGCATCTGGCGGTAAGCGACACGCCTGTCCGTAAGAGTTGCAGTGCCAGTCATTGTTTTAAATGACAAAGATCTGAGGGGCAGTTTCACTGCGCCAGTCATTTTGAAATACAAGTTGGCAAGTCCCACGTGCCTGTAACTTCACCAGTACCCTTAGGCTCCATTTACATTGCGGCGGAATGGAAGCTTCAATTTCGCCCCGCTGCGTGAGAAGACGCGCGCGGTCGCTGGATTCGCGCGAGGTCGCGAGCTTTCGCGAGGTCGCGAGCTTTCGCGAGGTCGCGAGCTTTCGCGAGGTCGCGAGCTTTTTAGTATTTCTTCGAGGTCACACTGGGTCTGCCTTCACGCCACTTCCCGCAGATAAGTTGATTACGCTCTATGTACAATATCGTTTCAAAAATTGGCTTCCATTCCGTTCCGCTGCAATATACATTGAGCCTTAACCCTTCATAACAGGAACGCAGTAATGCCACATTATTGCTTGGCGGCAGAAATAAGCAAGGGTACTTCCCTAGACGAACCCCCCACTAGGAACTGCTACTAAAAAAGAAGCTTACCGTACCTCATTTTTTTACAACCAATATACTTTATGAAATTACATAAATCCATTCTCACTATATAATATGTTAGGAATCATATCAATTTATTGGTATCTGTTTAATACTTAACTTCCCCGTTAGTTTCAGAACCAATTTATATTAAAGCGGTCATAAGCACTAAGAGTTTATAACTAATTATTGCTACGAGAGCAATCCGTCAACTGAATCAAAGCTCTGCGACAAACACCGAACATATGAAATAACAACAGTTACGTTTTCTGTTCACTTCAATGATATCTGAGCAGAATAGTA